AGAATTTAGAACTATCCCAATAAATTAAGGATATCTTGTGCAAAATATGACAAATCCTTTTATTAAGGGTATTATAGACATTTTACCAAAAATGAATAGTAGTAGGTCATTTATAAAAATCTCCCACAAATTTGTCACTCGTACCTATAAAATTACAAGTATATACTTGTTAAGAATTACAAACTATAGGAGTGTAGATTAAAATTTAAGTAAAGAAATTTATTTACTGTTCAATTATTTGAATTTTTGGCATTATAAACTAAAAATTCATGTAAATAAACTTTGAGATCATAATAACAGTGAACAGTTCTTTTGTGTCAATGTTACTGAAAAAAGCTGTAAGTTAAACTAACATTTAGCCCCCGTTTGTTTCTCATTTTCGGAAGAATAAAAATGAAAAATATAGCCGTTACGGGTCCCACACAAGAGATAGAAATTCAAATTTGATGACTTGATGTGATGAATAACAGTCATATTTTTCATTTTAATGAGAAAATAATGAGAACCAAACAGAGCTATTTAATTTCAACTTGAATATAAGAGGGTAATGGAAATATCCTCAAACAAAATTTTCGGTTTATACAAAATGCGAATAGCACTTTTTAATCTCTATCAGCTTGAAACTACGACGGATCCAATTTGTATAAATTTACGCTGCATCTGGCAGAATAGAATTAAGATTCTTAGCTAGTGTTGACTTTATTTCCCATAATCTCAACATTTTAATAAGTGTTAGTTGGAATGTCGATAAATAGTTGAAATACCGTCAATTAATTTAATTGAGAACAAATCACTTCCGATTTTTATTTAGGAATTCTATTACGCATCATGCCAATATTATAGTTCGTCCCGTTGTAAATGACATATGATCAGAGTCTAATTTCTTCATCAGATTATTTGATAGTGCAATTAATCTACCACACTGCAATGAGATAAAAAGGAAAATTGATTTCTCAAGGGAAGGTTAAATTAGTCCTTTCAAACTTTTAAATAATTAGATTTCATTTTATTTTAAGGAATTTGGTCAAAGGCCCGTTGAACAAAAACATTTTAAGTCAGAGATGGATTCAAGATTGGGCTACAAAAATTTCAAATCGGGCTAATATACGAAAAAAAAAATATTTATGCATAAAAAAACTGTTTTTACAGAAAAAAATGAAAAATTCCTTAACAAAATTTTTTTTTTTGGGCCTTGGGGGGGGGGGACTGAGCCCAGCTTTTGAGTGGTGGCCATTCGAACTCATTCCCACTTGTTTATTTTGTGCTATATATGAATGTTTATTGTTCTAGCACGACATATCAGCCTAAAGCTTCGAATCACTTCGCATTTTGTAACACGAGATCTATCTCGATTGATGCACTTTTTCCTTTTTTTTTTTTTTTTTTTTTTTTTTTTTCATCTTGTGCCAACATTTCCAGAAAAATAATAGAAATTAAGGATGGGAAGGAATCATGCTAGCCTTTCGAAAGCCAGGATAACAATTCAATCGGACTCATATTTGTTGTTGGTCAGTTTTAAATTTATCAATAATGTTGTTTGGTTAGTTGTTGTCTCTCCACTTAGCACTTATTAAAATTGTGCATCCATTGATGGGATTAAGATGTTGATTCTTCCATTGTTGCTCCAAGCATAAACAATCCCTTTACTTAAATACTAAAGATTATATTTACATCCAGCCTCGATCCTTCCTAAAGTCGAGACCAAAGCAAAATTTTAGCTCAACATAGGATGCTACCTTCATTGTTCTTTCCATTCAAGACAATGTAAGTTTGGTTAGAGGATATTTTAGCGAGATGATTTCAGTTTCCTCGTATATTTCAGCTGATTTTAAGGCATGAAAATGCGATGAGAGAATCTCTATAAACAATTGGCTTCTACCTTTCTTTCCTCAAGTTGAAAAAATTAAAAGGTTGTATTAAACCAATTTGTTTAGTGTTATGATATTATTGGTGAAGACAATATTTAATTGATATACACATGGCATAATTTAACAATTTAAACTTTTAGATCAAACAATTTATAATCATAAATGTGACAAAATTTATTCAAAATTTGTACTCAACACACCGTGTTAAGCACAACCCAAGTTCAGCTTCATACAAAAGGCACGGCATGTGCACCAATATTTATACATGGATGGTAGCGAGATTTGAAATCAATATGTATATTTGTTTTGATATTATGTTGAACTACCCCACTCAATAATTTAAGTGGTTATATAAACGGGACAAGTTAATATATTTGAATTTTGTACTTAATTAGTTGAAATTTGATATATCTCAATAAATTATTTTTTTTCTTCTTAAATTAAGAGCTAGAGCTCAATTATTTCTAATAGAAGGGTTTTCCAAAATAAGGGATTCATTATGAATTGAAAAGTATTTATTTTAAATTAAGTTATAAGTGCATTTCAAAAGAACTTTAAAAGGTAAAAAATTTTAAGTTTATTTTTAATACTTAATTTTACACTCACTCTCTATTTAGAATGTTACTTCAAAAAGTCTTTTGGAGCACAATTTCAGGAGCCGATTCTTTAAAATAGAAAGCATTTCATGTTTATCTAGAGATGCTCTAAATTCACAATATTTTCTTAATGTACACTGATTGTATATAATAAGTCACAAATTTCAATACTCAACTTCTCAAATATTCAAGATATATTTAAATTGATTGGTCATTGACCTGTAAAAAATATGTTAAATAAAGTATGAGAAGAAATCAATAAATTTTTCTAGAGAAAGCAAAATGAAAAGTTGAAATAGATAGTAATGTTGGAGTACATTGAAATTTTAACTCTCTAAATTTAAAGGCGATATCTATGATGCTTAAGATACTCTTTATTTTATAAAAATAAAGTATTTTGAAGATGCTTTAAGACTCTAACAATCCCAAACATTTTAAGGACGTGTTTGGATTACCGTAATGGACCGAATAAATATTAATAAAGACTAATTTAATCATATACCATGTTTGTTGCAATTAATATCCGGAATATGGTGGGGTCACTCCTTAATAACAAACACCACACTGTTTTGATCCCCTCAATCACATGGGTTAGGAAAGGGTTTAACACTTAAATCCTGTTGGGTAAGAATTAAAATTTTTATTTTTAAATAAATTAAAGCAAATAATTAATTTTAATCACATATTTCATATGATTTATATCTTTCAACTGTATATTTCTTTTAATTAAATTTGATTTGCATTTCAATTTTCAATGTTAAGTTCATTTTCCAATTTTCTATTTGAAAAAATTATTCTAAGATTGTTGAAAACGCATTTAATTTGTTTATTCTTAAAAATCATTTCTCAAAACTGAAAAATTAGAAAATACGTTTATTTTGAAATTTTATACAATTATTTTATGACGTTTTATTTCATGAAATTTGATTATTTAGCAAAGTAGAACAATTATTATCAAGTAATAGGTACATTTTAAAGAAATAAAGACTAATTACATGGATTGGGAATTTTTACCTATAGGTACATTTTAAAGAAATAAAGATTAATGACATGGATTAGGAATTTTTACCAATGTTCATTTAAATATATATTTTAATTTTTAAATTAAATAACCTATAAGAGATTGAACAATATTTACTTTTTTCAGATTTTCTAAAATGATACCTTTTAAGATTTTTTATTTATTTATATTCTTATAGAATGTTAGGTTTTTTAGAATGTTTAATTTTTAAGAATTTTAGATGTTATTTATTTTCAAGATTTTTATTTGTTTTATTACAATTTGTTTTTTCAATTTTTTTTAATTTTTATATCTTTATTTTTATAGAATTTTTGAATTTTTTTAAGAATCTTATATTTTATTTTTAAAATTTTATTTAATTGTTTATTTCTATGTTCAGTCAAAATGTCAAAAATATATTTTGAGTTTTATGTTATAAGTTTGACATTGTTTTTGAAAATAAATTTTCAAAAATTGGAAACCAAACAAATTTTAGGTATTTTGCAAAATAGAAAATTGAAAACAGTAAATCAAATGTCTCATAAATTTAGGTAAATTACTTATTTTGACATTAATGTGAGAGTTATTTTAGATAAAATAAGTTTTTAAAAAAAAAATTATCCAAAAGCATTTTTAGACAAAAAAAAAAAAAAACTGAATTTACTTTATAAGTTAATCAATAATATTGGAATAGACATTTTATTTTTCATTACTTAACCCTTCTTTTATTTTTCATTACTTATATTTTCTTTTAATACGACGATGTACCAAAGTTGTTTATAAAAAAAAGGTTATGCCACTTGTATAGATTTTTGTTGCCCACCCTTTTGATAGATAAATTTTGGCAATTTTTTATTGGTACAAACACGATCATATTTTTTAAATAGGCCAATGGTATTCTGTCAAGTAAGATGTATAATTTTTTTGGACAAGTAACATGATCCTTAAAAGTTATAATAGTGTATCCTGTTTTTAATCAAATTCTCTCTTAATAATTTATACTAAAAATGCCCTAAAAAGCATACCAACGTCAGCTAAGAAGTTTGAGCCGAGGATTGGTACAACAAATAGCAGACCATGATTCAGATCAGTTAGAGCCTAATTTAGTTCTTGTTTGGTAATCATTCTTTTAAAAATAAAATAAATTGTTTTTAATAGTTTTTTAAGAAAATGTATGGTTAAAAAGTAAGAAAAAATTTAACATTACGTATAAAATATTTTATTGTTTGAATATGTGGTTAAAAATAAATTATATAGAAAAAAGTTTGAAAAGAATGGATAAGAAGGGCTTAATTAACGGATAAATGTTTTAAACACAATATAAGGTTCCCTTTGTTACCCATTTTTTTCAAAATACATTTTTCTCTTTCTTCTTTTTAACACATTTTCTTTATTAAAATAATATTATACGTAAATAAAAAAAATTTATTTTTCAACCACACATTTTTCATCAATTTACTATTTTAAAATATATTTTCACATAAAAATAGGTCTCTGACACCATAAAATGTATGTATATGTAAAAAAAAATAATTTCTCAAATTTCAGGCACCCCTTCCACCACCACTCCCACAAGGCCGCATGAATTAGAACTCCTGGATTCGAAATTCGTAAGAAAAAAAATGAAAATTGAAGTCAACTATTGTATGAATTTCTTTTTCGATTTAAATTTCTAGGAAATTCCTAATACCTTACCCCATTTCAACGTTTTACTTAGTCTTCATTCATCGTGCATGTATATAATATAGAGATATATTCCTATATAAACTGTGTTATTTATGGTAGCACTCGCTGGTGGTGAGTTGTTTTTCTCTTGATCAGGGTTGACTTCATTTTCTGATCATTTCGGTTTCTGATATTGGAAATCTTCATCGAACCATGGAAGGTAATTTCATTTAATATGTATATTTTCCTTTTTAGTTTCTAGTACTAAAGTTTTGCTGTGGAATCTGACTTATAATATCAGATTTACTACCCAAATAAGATCGGAACAGCTATTGGTTTTTGAGTCCATATACTTAATAAATTTCGAGTGTTGAAGTTTTCCACTGTTAGTGAGGCCAGGGGACACTTAAATTTATTAAATTTAATCCCTCAACATATCTCCCCACGTTGCGAACGATTGGATTCATTGTACATGAAAGGTATCGTACGTGTATTAGTGATGGTAGCGACACTTGAACACCAAGAAATGTACATGAAATTTATAAATTTGGGTACCGCGAAACACATATGTTCGTTATTTATTTAAACAGGGGCATCATTTTTTTCTTGTAATGTTCCATTTGCTTATATCAGTTGTAGCACAGGAAAAAAGAGGAAGCATTGTGAAAAATCAGTTGTTGGAGGGTTGTCAGATAACAAAGCTCACATGGAGAATTGATAACTTCTCTAGGTTAAATGTAAAGAAGATCTTCTCTGAGATATTTATGGTCAGTGGATTTAAATGGTATGTTCTGGATGGAACGGTGTTTCCCATCTTCTTTTGATCGATTTGTATACTTTCTATGGTGTTGGTGACTCGTGATAATTCTTTTTCCAGGAGGATCTTTCTCTACCCGAAAGGGATCAGGGTTGATGATTATTTGTCCGTATATCTCGAAGTTGTTGATGACGCTACGGCACCAGTTGGGTGGTTTATAGATGCTGATATAACTTTCAATGTGGTCGACCAAATTGATCACAAGAAGACTGTAGATCATGGTATTTATCTGCATCTATGATGGCACAATGACTTCCAAACTTAAATCTTTGACTAATTAAGTTGTTGAATGACCTCGATTTAAAGTTGAAGCTGTTAGGGTCACATTTTATTGTATAATTTTATTCTTCGAATGCACCTTAAGACTTGAATACCCTTTTTTTTCTGTGTCATCAAGCATAAGATTGAAATCTCAGACTTCTGCCATCCATAAACGAGAGATAATTGTTTGGCGCTTTGCCCTATTGACCTGTTGCAGCATGATACATGCATGAAAATCGGTATACCCCAATAATATTAGGTCAATCTCCGATTGAGGGGATAATTATAAGATATGATTAGGCTTCACACTCTTAAATATATGCCCTTGCTAAACATTGAAACTTGGAGCATCTCCTTAAAAAAAAATTTCTAATCTGTTTTTCATCTGTTGTCTATGCAGTCTTGCAGTGGTTCAATCAGTGTCAGTTTTTGTCATAAGCTTTGAGTTTGAAACTATTCAAATTCGACTTTGTTGCCATTCTTGTTAAGAATACAAAAAAAATTTTGTGATCTTCGTGATTGTCATAATTTTTTAATTTCATTTGATTATTTTTCTAAAGGTTTCATTGCATAATCATTGTAGAACTTTCCTGTTGTAGCCCTATAAAAAGTGTCTCCCTCTTTGTAACGTTTACAGAATAAGTACACAAAATCTGTTGCTTTCATTGTTTCTTGGTCAGTTTGTTTTTAATTCTAACAATACCCTGCAGAAACAAAATGCACATTCAAGCAGCGGCATGTTAGTTGGGGATTTCCTACTTTTATCTCTCTTGATAAATTACATGATCCAGGCAGAGGTTATATTTTTGATGACACGTGTATAATTGAAGTTGAGGTATCTGTGAGTGCTACTTCTCCAGTTTCAGGGAATAGAGTAAGTTAGTCCACCCTAAATTTATTGAGAATGAAGCTTAGTTTATTGTTGTCGTTTCTTGATTTGGTGCTTGCTTAAATTGTGCACCCAATTTTAGGACCAACCTGCTGATTCCTCTGTTGCTGTTCATCCGAGCATAAATAACCCCCTTCACTTAGATACTATGGATTCTATTTACAGCAAGGCTCAATCCTTCATTAAGTCGAGATCGAAGCGATCTTTTAGCTCGATATCAGATTCTAGCATCACCGTCGCTGGTAGTTCTGCTCAAGACAATGCGGGTTTGGTAAAAGGACATTTTAACGAATTGATTTCACTTCCCTTGAATGATTTGGCTGATCCCAATCATGAAAGTGCAATGAGAGAATCTTTGTTTACACTTGGCAACGACCTTACTTCATTTTCCGAGGAACAGATCCAACAAATCAACAGGTTGTATTGAATTACCTCAAAGGTCTAAGCCATAATAGATGGGACAAGTTTATTTACTCAAAGCTCATCTTTATCACACCTCCTCCTGTGAGTTGATTCCATTTTTGACCAAGTGCCTGACACGGTGGCAATGATACTAAAACTTAGGACCTTGGTTATGATATCATGTTAAACCATATCATCTAAAAGTTTAAGATGTTATAGATGTGAAAAATATAATTATAATTATTCATTTAAATTTGTCTTTAACAGGTTGAAAGATGAATTTCCCAGGATTATTGAAGACTGGAGGGATTCGGTTCAGGTTCTCGATGACTGCCAGAGCTTCTTGTCAAATTTCGAAAAGACCAAGAATTTACTCGAAGATGCAGTTAAAACCGAAGAGGCAATCAAGGGTACACTAGACAAGTTGAGAATGAGAACTAACGAACTCGAAAAGGAGCTGGAGGCAGCCAGAAAAGAAGCGAAACAGCTTGCAGAGCAAAGACAAGAAGCATCGAAAAAAACACATGAATCTTATGTTATTGCAGAAGATCAGAGTGTCATGATTGAACTCAAAGAGCTGGAGATTACTCAAGCAAGAGACGAGTTAGAGGATTTGAAGGCTGAGTGGGACTCCATTAAATCTCATTTCATATGAATCTTATGCTTTTATAATTGTTTGTTTCACTTCTGTTTCATCGAGCACTGGGACTTAATAATATTGTTTGATAACATTCAGTGTGTTATGTGTTTTTGGCTTCTTATATACGCTTCAGGAAAGTTTCCAATAGTTAAGAAAGACTGAGTTTTTTTGAACAAAAATTAGGTTAGTCACATGCGCCAGCAATTTAGGGGTGAACACGGTTTGTAACAAATTTTCATATCAAACCACTCATAACAGTTTGAAGTTTTTTCCAACCAAATCAAACCAGTCCAAACCACTCTTTTCAATTTGACTCATTTTAAAACCTTGGTTTAATAAAGAAAAAATAACTTATATCAAATAAGTTAAATCATAAATATTAGTATAAAATTTCACACTAAAACATAAATAGTATTATTAAAAATGGACAAACCAAAGTTTTATAATTCTAATAATTATAGTGCAACAACATGATAGAAATGTTTTAACCATTAATTCATTAATTATAGTTAAATGGTATAAACAATTAATAAAAGAAAATGAATAGAAAAATCAAATACGGAAATGCATTCTATAATTTTTTTTTGTGAATCATTCAATGCTTCTATCTTATCCAAATATTAACGAATGATTATAGATTACTTGTTATTATACAACCAATTTTAGAAGGGAAAAATAAAAATAAAAATTACAACCTCAATCATACTTGTACTCAACAAATTCCTAAAGGAATAAAAAATTCAATCGCTAGTTGGGAATGTAGACTCAAACATATTTGTCGTTATTTGAATAGCTAACACATATTTAGCAATTTGGGAAACAATCTCTGTATTTATTTGTATTTAATTTCCACCGAAGTAATATAAAGATTCAGTGGTCAAATCTTCAAAACGAACATTAAATTAATCACTAAATCATTCTAGCAATTAGCAGTAAAATCTAGAAACTAACTTAAAAGGATAATAATTAGTTAAATGGCTTGAATAGAAAATTGAGGCACAAATAAACAAAAAAAATGCAGCCTACTACAAATTTAAGGGACCTTTGTGCAAATTAGAAAAAACAACATAACTTCTAATAAAAATATAGCAAAAAATTACCAAAAATATAATTTTTTTTTGGGGATAAATTGAACTGAAAATTCAGCTGAGATTCGATAACATTATTAGTAGAATAATTATTAGTAGAATGAAAAGAAATATGCGTTTAAATTAAATCTAGATTTGATTGTCTATTTAATTGCAATTGGTGGTCAATGAATATGGTTTATAAGAGTTGTTCAACACTTCACCTAATTTGAGAATTTTGCATTTACAGCCGCGATGACTATTAGATATTTGGGTATGATTTAATTAATTAATTGATGTGTATAAGTGGCAATTTAAGTATTGAGTTTAACAGGGTTATGTCTAATTTAAATTTAATTACAATTTTTTTTTGTAATCGATTTGATTGTTCGGGCCTAGTTAGCATTCAAAATATCTACAACGATATCTTGGGAGGTATCAAGCCAAAAAGAAAATAATAAAATAAAATAAAATCCCCTAAAGACAAGAAGGCAAGGCATGAGGGGTACTTTTAAATTTGACCCAGTCAAAGGTTAAAAATTTCACTTTGACTTTGAAAATCTTGAATATTATTACATTGACCTCTTGTATGGTAAAAGACAAAGATGCCCTTAAAAGTATTACACAATTACAAAACAATATATTATTGAAATGATTTTACTATTCTTTTAGTGAATAATTGAAAACTAAACACTTCCCCACTTATAAAACTTCAAAATGAGCTTCCAACACAGAAAAAACTCTCATCTTTCATTTGCTTGAACCTCAAAATCTCAAAAAACTTTCAAACGCTGAAACCGAATTTTTTTCATATCAATTACTTCAAATCGGTAAGTATATTTACGCATATTTAATTTCATTTTCAGTAAATTAGTATACGTTTGAATAGAAAAATTTTATTTCGACGTAGTAATAGTTAGTATAATTTTTTTTAACAGATCTTACTTATAAAAAAAAATTGAACAGGTCTATAATCTTTTTTCTTCTATTCTTTAAAACCGTAGAAGAAAAAATTCATACGCAAAACAGCCAAACAGTCGGCTGTCATAGTCAGCTGTTAAATAACCCAACAGTCGATTTTTGTACTTCTACTTTCACAAAAATCGATTTTTAAAGCTGTTAATTAATTAATTAATTAATTTTTGTTGGCACTAATTTTTTTCTTATAATTAATAAATGAAGTTGATTAAATAAATAAACATATGATTTTTTTTGTAAGTTATTAAAAAAATTTTATTTCCTCATGCAGATATAATAATCCTTGTATGTTATTTCGGTGATTTCGAATTGAATGAAAATAATCGTTGGGAATGGAGATGGACGAGTGACGAGTGACATATGTGGTTGTATTGCAATTCCCATAACACAGAGTACATCATACTCAGAAGTGTACCACGATTTGCAAAATAAGCTGAATGTTGATCAATCTCAATACGATATGCAATTGAGATATTTATTCAATGGTTATGGGGATTCAACCACTCCGATTCCACCGATATTCGTTATTAATGATGTTGAATTGAATTATCTATTAGAATTGAATAAAATGCATCGGACTCCGACTGTTCTTGGTATGACTTTAGTTAAGAAGGATATTGTCGAAGGTGAACGCGAAGATTCAGATAGGGTGGATAATAATGACCGAGATTTTTGGGAGAAAGTGGAGATAGTTCCTGCGGATGATGTAGTTATTCCTGAGACAGTTGCTCCTGATCGTGATGTCGCTGTTACGCACAGAATTCCGTCGACAGTTGAAGACAATGAGAATATAAATGATTTTACAAATGAGAATTTGATTACTTTATCCCGACAGAGACATGAGCCGGGTAGGAGCTTAAAGGTTGGAACAAGTGGACCGTCCTCCAATTATTCCCTTGTGGCTCCCGATGATGAGGACTTGTATGTCGAGCAATTGTTTGAAACCAAAAAAGATTTGTAGGAAGCTGTACACCGGCTGATATTAAAATATAACTTTGAGTTCAAGGTAAAGAAATCAAACAAGTCATTGTTGACAATTGCTTACGTCGACGACAGTTGCAATTGACTCTTGAGAGCAACTAAGATGGACATGAATGAGTGTTTCGTAATTCGCAAATATTCACGGGAACATACTTGCGAAATGGGAATTCTTTGAAATGATCATGGGCAAGCTCGAGTATGGTTTATTGGTCAACAGATAATGCACAAGTATCAGGACACACAGACGATCTACAAACCTTCGGATATCATTAACGACGTCCGTTGAGAGTATGGAGTGGTTATGAGTTACCAGAAAGCCTGGAAGGCCAAAGAATGTACTTTGGAGGATTTAATGTGATCAACTGAAGAGAGCTATGCTAAATTGGTTAGGTATTGTCATAGCATAGGGACGACTAATCTTGGCACGGTATTTTTTATTGAGATGGGGGAGGGGGGCGATAATTGTTTTAAATATTTCTTCATGGCTCTCGGACAATGTATTCGGAATTTTCGAAATGCAATGTGACCCGTAATTCTAGTTGATAGTACAACTCTAAAAGCTAAATATCAAAGCAAATTAATTATTGCTACATGTAAAGACGCCAACGTCCAAATTTACCCTATTGCATTCGGCATAGTCGACAACGAGAATGATCTGTGCATGCGTTGGTTCTTTTCTAAATTGAGGGAAGTGATCGAGGAAGTCGAAGACCTGGCCTTTGTAACCGATCTGGAACAGTCTATAATAAATGGTATCGCTGAAGTTTTTTCTGAGGCACATCACGGGTATTGCATGTACTATATACAAGGTAATTTGAAGACTAGGTATCGGGACAAAGACATCGTTTCATTGCTCAGGAGAGCAGCCGAAGCTTACAATGCTGAAGAGTGTAATAAGTTCATGTTCGAGATAGGAAGTAAATCATTACCGACATTGGAGTATCTGACGAACATGGGGATCGGATATTGGGAGCAGACATACTTTCCAGGACGTCGATACAATATGATGACGTTGAATAACGCGAAGTCTCTCAATATATTGTTTAAGAAGGATCGAGAGTTAACAATTCTCGCAATGATTGAGAACATTCGTAACAAGCTGCAACAGTAGTTTCATGACTGATGTGCAGCATCACAGAGTTGCACTAGCGTGTTGACCTCAGCTCAAGAGGAGAAACTCTTTAAGGTGGCAGAGGTTGCGAGGAAGTTGAATGTGGAAGCACTAGATGAGTTATTCTTCTATGTACAATGTGCACGTAATACGATATATATGGTGGACTTGACTGATAACACATGCACTTGTACGAGATTTCGTTAGAGAGTTTTCCATGTGAGTTCGCAGTTGCGGTGGCCATGTATCAAGGCTTTGCAGCGAGAACGTTATGCTCTTTGTATTATACGACCGAGTCTTGGAGAACAGCATATGCTGAAACTATATTTCCTCTGCCGAGTGGGAAGTTCTCGAGCACATTCTCCTGTTTGATACTTTTTTGCCACCAGCAGTTGAATCACGTGGTCCTCGACGTCCAAGTACATCTAGAATACCATCTACCGGAGAGTTTTCTTGACCGCGTAGGTGTGGCAAGTGCAGAGTCATATAACATACTCGACAATTTTGTAGCAGTCAAATTTCCCTAAATGACAATTAGACAGGTACGTTAAATGTATAATATTTTCGTTTACTTTATACTGTTCAATATTTGTTCTTCATAAATGTTCGATGTTCAATATTTATTCTTGATAAGTGTTATGTATAATGATTCATATGAAAAAATAGTTCCATACTCGACATATGTGTAAAAATAACAAAAAAATCAATTTACAAAAAAAAATTAAATTAAAATTTCAATTTGAATGTTATATATATTGAACACAAATTTACAATTATTTCATAATCACAAAAAATAATTAAATTCAAAATTCGAATGTTACATATATCTAATATAAATTTACGGGTCACAATTAAATTCGAACAAATCACAAGCTAACAATGGGCGTTTTAAAAGCAGTCCGATATGCCCACAATGCATCGTCCAACTTCTTGGACCAATCTTTTCTTGATGCATTGACCGTCAACTCGAGAATTCTCTTTAACTCTCGATTAGATATTTCAACTTGGCCACTTGTTTGGGGATGATAGGGAGTGGCCACTCGATGATTCACTCCATATTTGGTCAAAAGTGAGTCAAAGAGGCGATTACAAAAATGTTTACCACCATCACTAATGATAGCTCGGGGAGTGCCATAGCGCGAGAAAATATTTTTCTTCAGAAAATTTACTACCACCCGAGCATCATTAGTAGGTAAAGCTACCGCTTCTACCCACTTTGACACGTAGTCTACAACCACCAATATGTATTTATTTGAAAATGAGGACGAAAATGGCCCCATAAAATCAATACCCCAAACATCAAATATCTCCACCTCCAATAAGGAATTCAATGGCATTTCATTACATTAGGAAATTTTACCAGTCCGTTGGCATCGATCACACTTAGAGACAAGTGTATGAGCATCCTTAAATAAGATGGGTCAATAAAAACCAGATTGAAGGACCTTTGATGCAGTTTTTACAGCACCAAAGTGACCACCATATTGAGAAGAATGACATCGTTCAAGTATTTTCTCCATTTCCTCCTCCGGCACACATCTCCGGATAATTTGATCCGGACCTTGTTTGAATAACAAAGGATCTTCCCAGAAGTAATGCTTCACATCAGCGAAGAACCTCTTCCTTTGTTGATAAGAAAGATCTGGGGGTATGATGCCGCTAACAAGATAGTTCACATGGTCTGCATACCATGGTGTATGATTGGCTTGTAAAATCTGGATGATTTGCAATAGCTGTTCATCAAGAAACACCTCATCGATTTCACCTTCCAAAACGTCTTCGGGTTGCTCGAGATGAGATAAATGATCAGCAACGACATTTTCAGTTCCCTTTTTATCTCGAATCTCGAGGTCGAACTCCTGCAAGAGGAGTACCCATCTGATCAACCTTAGCTTGGAATCTTTCTTTGCCAACAAATATTTGATGGCCGAGTGGTCAGTGTAGACAATTACTTTGGAACCAATGAGATATGACCGAAATTTATCAAATGCAAATACTACTGCTAGCATCTCCTTTTCAGTAGTAGCATAATTCAATTGCGCATCGGTCAAAGTTCGACTGGCGTAATATATAACATGCAGGACTTTATCTCTCCTCTGCCCTAGAACTGCTCCAACAGCATAATCACTAGCATCGTACATCAGCTCGAATGGAAGATTCCAATCTGGAGCTGCGATGATAGGAGTCGTGGTAAGCTTTTCCTTCAGTGCATTGAAAGCATTAAGGCATTCTTGGGAGAAATTAAAGGCTGTGTTCTTTTCAAGCAAGGAACAAAGAGGTTTTGTGATTTTTGAAAAGTCTTTAATAAACCTCCTATAAAAGCTAGCATGTCCGAGAAAACTTCGAATTCCCTTTACTGTAGTTGGTGGAGGCAATTTTTCAATTACTTGAATTTTCGCCTTATCAACCTCTATGCCTTTCAGAGAAATTCGATGGCTAAGAACTATGCCTTCTTTGACCATGAAATGACACTTTTCCCAATTTAGAACCAAATTGGTCTCTTTACATCGTCTAAGTACCATCTCTAAATTGTTAAGGCATCTATTAAATGAGGCACCGAAAACTGAAAAATCATCCATAAAAATCTCAATACTTTTCTCCACCATGTCGGAGAAAATCACCATCATATACCTTTGGAACGTAGCAGGTGCATTGCACAGGCCAAAGGGCATTCTCCTGTACGCAAAAGTACCGTACGGGCATGTAAATGTTGTTTTCTCTTGATCTTCCGGAGCTATTGGAATTTGATTATAGCCCGAATACCCATCAAGAAAACAATAATGTGAATACCCTGACAACCGCTCTAGCATTTGATCTATGAAAGGAAGAGGGAAGTGATCCTTCCTAGTTGCAGTATTTAACTTGCGGTAGTCAATACACACTCGCCAACCAGTCACCAGTCTAGTGGGTATGAGTTCGTTGTCCTCATTTTTCACTACCGTTATGCCTCCTTTCTTAGGTACAACTTGAACAGGACTTACCTATGGACTATCAAAAATGGGATAGATAATGCCTGCATCAAGTAATTTAACAACTTACCCTCTCACCACTTCCTTCATATTCGGATTTAACCGCCTTTGATGCTCGACTGATGGCTTAAAGTCATTCTCCATCAGTATTTTGTGCATACAAAATGACGGACTGATTCCCCGAATATCATTTATTGTCCATCCAATTGCTTCCTTATGTTTTCGCAAGACTCAAAGTAGCTTCTCTACTTCTAGATCGGTTAAGGAATTGGAGATGATCACTGGAAGTGTGGATGATTATCCTAAATAAGCGTACCTCAAATGAGGTGGAAGTGTTTTCAAATCAAGCGTAGGGGCTTTTTGATAAGATGGAAGAGGTATTGAAGATGTCTTTTCCAACTCTTCATAATATGGTACCCTCTTGAAGGTGCGGAAAGGTGTAGCTTCCAAGTACTTTGTCATACCTTCAACATCGGGGTCACCATCACTTATATCAGAAGAACTTACTAGGCATCTCTCAAGAGTGTCGTCAGAACTCCCATAAAGAGAGTCGGCAACCAAATGATCAATCATATCCACCCGAAAACAGTCATCTGGTTCTAACGGGTACTTTATGGATTTTAAGATGTTAAAAGTGACTTGCTCATCTTGTACCCTTAAAATGAGTTTACCCTCCTGCACGTCAATCAAGGCTCGACCGGTGGCAAGAAATGGTCGTCCCAGAATGATAGGGATATCATTATCTTCTTCCATGTCAAGTATAATGAAATCAGCAGGGAAGATGAACTTATCCACTCTTACCAAGACATCCTCAACCACACCTCGAGGATATTTAATTGACCGATCAGCCAATTGCAGTTATACCGTAGTAGCCTTTGCTTCTCCCATTCCCAACTTTTCAAAAATAGACAAGGGCATTAAGTTAATGCTCGCTCCGAGACCACACAAAGCTTTAGTAAAATTAAGATCCCCAATAGCACATGGAATAGTAAAGCTCCCTGGATCTTTGATTTTAGGAGGCAATTTGTTCTGGAGAATGGCGCTACACTCTTCCGTCAACATCACCGTTTCATGCTCTTCAAGTTTCCTTTTGTTAGAAAGGATATCTTTCATGAACTTCGCATAACTCGGCATTTGAGCCAGAGCATCTGCAAACGGAATGTTAATGTGTAGCTTTTTAAACACCTCCAAAAACTTACCAAATTGAATATCCAGTTTATGCTTCTGGAGCCTTTGAGGGAAAGGAATGGGAGGTACATAGGCTTTGACTGGAATTGGAGTCTTTGATGTTAATGGCTCTTGTTCATCAGTCTTATCTTCTTCAACAACCTCTTTAGGTGCTTGCAACGACTGGTTCTTAGTCAGCTCGAGCCTTTTGCTGTACTACCGTGGGTTCAGGCAATTGAATCCCACTCCTAGTAATAATGGCCTTTGCATTCTCTCTGGGATTTGTTTTAGTGTCACTGGCTAAAGCCCACCTGCCTTTCCAAATTTTTCAACGAGGCATCATTGTGTTCTTGGTATTGCAATTGATGATTTGCTAACTTAGCAATGGCCTCTTCCCAACCTTCTTTCTTCTTTTGTGGTTTAGGATTTAACACAGTCTGGTTATTCCCATAAGAGAAGTTAGGGTGATTACGCCATCCAGGGTTATAAGTTTGAGTGTAAGGATTGTACCCAGGGCGTTGAAAATTTTGTATATATGCCAAATGCTCGGTGGATCCCGAACTACTGGCAATCAACGGACAACTTGAACTCAAATGATTAGCTCCGCACATTTCACAGATCGGTGGGGATTGGACCATATGAGGTGAATGAGAGCCAGATGACGAAGTAGAAAGTCCTTCTACTTTTCGTGCTAGAAAGTCAATCTTTGATAACATAAGAGAGTATGCTTCACTCTCTCGAGCTCCACTAACTCCCACTTTAGCACGTCTATTTGGCCACATGGCACTCTGTTCACTCATCACCTCAAATAGCTCATACGCCTCTCGGATACTTTTGTTTTGGATAGATCCGTTTGACGATGAGTCAACATTAGAGTGGTAAGAAGGAGTTAACCTGGAGTAGAAGTACTGGACTTGTTGTAGTAAAGTAATCCCATTGTTTGGGCACTTTCTTAGCATGTCCTTGAACCTCTCCCAAGCCTCGTGAAAGTTTTCAGAGTCAAGTTGTTGGAAAGTGGTTATATCGTGTTTTAACTTGGCCACACGAGCAGGTGGGAAAAATTTAGTAGTGAATTTTTGTACCAACTCCACCCAACTCGTGATACTCCTCGAAGGTAGAGTGTCAATCCACTCTCTTGCCTTATCTTTCAGAGTATGCACGAATAACCTCATTCTTATAACCTCATCATTCACACCTTCATATGTGAAATTGCTAACAATTTCCATGAATCTCGCGATGTGAGCGTGTGGGTTTTCATCTATTCTACCATAGAATGATAAAGAATTGGAGAATAGATTAATGACATCCGGTCGTAGTTGAAAGTTAGGATGTCCATATGATGGGTAAATGATACTCGCCTGGTTCTCAACGACAGGGCGGTTCAGAAAATCCCTAAACAACATATCTTCCTCATTGACTACAGGATTTTGAACCTGCCCGCTTGATTATCAAAACCAGGTGGCACACCATCCCGAGGAGCTTGTTCATGTCGAATAAGAGGGTCCATATGACCTTCTTGATGCTCCATGTCTCGTTGTTGTCTTTTCAACTCGTTTTGTTCTCTAAGCCTCTTTCGGAAAGTCCCTTCGATTTCAGGATCAAATTCTAGAAGATTGAGACTTCGCGAACGATGCATAAACAATGAACGAGTTAGGAATTTGATAAAAACGAAGACAAAGTAACTTTTGGATTTAAAAGGGGGAATTTAAAACAAAAAGTAAAGTTCGTTAAAGTGATTGACAAATTAGCTGGTAATTTGATAAAAACATTCCCCGGCAACGGCACCAAAAACTTGATCGGTAATAAATGGCACGCCGCAAGTGCACGGGTCGCGATCAAGTAGTATAATGGACCTTTTAAGTCTGAGTCGATTCCTCAGAGAGTGTTGTTTTCAATTACGAGTGTATTTGTTTCAAATTAACGAAAAAGATACACATTTAAAAGTTCGATTTTAAAAACTATAAAAAGGCGAAAACTCGATTTTGATTTAAAATACTTAAATAATACTTAAAAAGTGGAAAAGTTTGATTTTAAAAGATGTTGGAATTTATGATTTCGCTTAACCCTTTTCAAGCCAATTATGCGTAGATGCAAATTACCAAACTATGTGGTTAGACCCGATTTTCCAAAATTAGTCAATAACCTCTGTCGAGCGATATCAACCCTAATTGCTTAGCATTAACATATTTATATGTCATTCTAAACTAAACAACTGCATTCAATTTTTGTGAAAATAAATCAACGGGTCACATAGGGTAGGTATACATGTCTGGATACCTAAACGCGTATAGTCGAAACCATACAAACATATGGTCTTAATTATTTCGGTCCATTATGTGCAACTATTTTTCAATAATTACGCAACTACCTAACCACAACATCTATTGACGTCAAATAAATGTAGTAATCTTAAACATGATAATTAATACACCAATATTTTGATAACAAATGCATATCTAACAACATATAATACGATATTAATGAAAATAGGTTAAGCTAATACATAAATTCCAACATAAACTTGTTTAGTTCATCATTCTAACAAAATAACAAAGAGATTCTCATAAACATATCATTACAAACATGAAGAACTAAATGAAAAGAATACAAAAGTTGAGATAAAACCCTTTTAAATACGAATTGTAATTCCTTCAATGTATTCTTCAAACTTTCCTTAATGATCTCCTTGCTATATCCACTTGATTCTCAAAATAAAACTAAAATTAACAAAAGAAAATAAAACTAAGAGAAAAAAAAATCAAGAAAAAGAGAGGGAGACCAAGAGAGATAGAGAGAAAAGTGAAAGAGTTGGGGAATTTTTTTTACCTACCAAGTTATATTAGTATATATATGGAATATGTATAAAATATAATAGATAAAAAAAGATATTATTAGACACATAAATATCCTAAAAATATCTAGAATAAAATAAGGATAAAATAATAAAAATGTTGACCAAAAAATCTCGAAATTGCAGATCAGATCCTTCAACTTTCATTTAGTGCAATTTGGTCCTCAAATTTTGACTTTTATTACATTTAGCCCTTCCATAATTGCACTTCAAGTCCTTTTCCTTCTCTTTTCACTCCTTATACTTCTTTCCTGGGTTTTAGCCTACAAAAGTAACAATTACACAATTATAAATAAAAATATACTCAATTTTATCAATAATAAAGTTCCAAAAAGTGCTAAATAAGTGTGTAAAAACACACTTATCAGATACCCTTGGCGGTGGCGATGCCAATGGCAGCGGCGATGCCCTCGGTAGAGGTGATGCCAATGGCGGCGACAATGCTCTCAACGGAGGTGATGCCAATGGCGGCGGCGATACCTTCGGCGGAGGTGATTGTCGATCAGCTGGACCGCCCTCCTGCATAAATAACAACATTAAAAATTATTCAATAAATTTATACAAAATGATATTCAATAAATTATATTTAATTCACATACCCAATCTCGGTCCAGGCTCGGATCAGACATCTCCTCGTCTTGGGTGTGCGAAACGCCTAAATCCCACACAAGACTCTGAACCTCCTCTTCCATCGACGACGTCAACTCAGGTATGAATTCAAGCTGACATATTGACATTTCAACTAGTTAACAATCATGTAAAAAGATTTTAAACTACGTATAATATAAATCACAAATGCATAATACTTACCTGAGGATCGTCGAAGAGGAACTATCTTATATACCCAAATCTGCAACACATACACTTATTATGCATAAATGTAATATACTAAAACTTTAACTTTGATTATATTAAACATTTACCTGTACCGCTAAGGGCAATCCATATGTATCATATTTACGCATTGACCCCCTGGGCCTCAAGTGTGATCTGGTGAAGACATGTACGGTATCTTCATATCATCTCCGGCCTCATGGATAGTTGTTGAACGCGTCGATGTCGTCGACAACTTGCCAATGAAAAATGTCGATGGTAGTCTTCTTGTGATGACACCTCATCACACTCTCGAGGATGTCGACCAGCACAAATTTCAATCTATCTAGCATCTGGTCGCACCCCTTGATCGCGACCATCAACTTGGGTAGAAGCACCGACCCATGTCCCTGGAAGTATGTCTCGTACAGCCTATTGCTTCTCTCAATGGCTGCATCGTCGCCCGTCATTCTCAGTCTAGTGATCAAGCTAAACTCATACAACGAGAAACTGACGACCTTGCCCCCGAGGTCGAAGTGGAGGGAATCGCCGTCGACTGGCCTCAGAAGTTGACATAGAAGTGCATCGATGATTTGTTCTGGGTACTGCACCTCTCGCATCTGGTACAATGGCCACAAGAAGGACTGTCGTAATATATCTCCGTGCTGATCATCTAGCAGCTCCAACACAGCAGTAAAACTCTCAAAGCTACTATTCCAAGTAGCTTTTCCCGCCATCCGTCTAAACTTTCCATCTAAATGATACTCCATTCTATAAAAATTTAAATGTAAGAACATTGAACAAGAGATAATAAAATAACGCATAATCTCAAAAAATCAAGGGCACCGAATTCTAGCTACCATACAATACGCAAGACATTGACGCTAATAACAAAATAAATTCAATAAAAATGTAAAAAAATAATTAATTAAATTAAAATACAAATTAATGAGATTTTCAATAAAAGGAAATTATTAATATTTAAAGAACACAAAAAAATTAAAAATTAAAGATTAACTATGTTTTCAAAAAAATTTAAAGAATATAAATATTATTTAAATAAATTTTAAATAATTAAAGAATATAAAAATTAAATAAATAAATAACATAATTATTATTTAATCAAGTTAAAATTATAAAGAAAATTAATCTTGTATATTACATTTAGAAAATATATTTACGAAAAAAAATTAAAATTAGATACAAATTAAAGTATAATATTATTTAAATAAATTAGAAAACAAAATCAAAGATTATTTCATAAAAAAGGAACAAAATAAATTGTTAATTTCAGATAATATTCAATTATTAAATTATATAAATAAAAGACAAGTATATAACATAATTATTATTTAATCAAATTAAAAAATAAATTAATTATAAAATATATTTAAAAAAATAAAAATTAAATATATATTTTAAAAAAATATATGTTAACAGTCGAACCCGACTATTAACAGTCTGTTTGACTGTCGGACTCGACTGTTAACAGTCAAGACAATACCTAACTGTTAACAGTCAAGACCCGACTATTACTGTTAATAGTCGGGTTCGACTGACTGTTAACAGTTGATGTTTTTCCCTTCCTTTTTTCGTCGAAAATCGCCATTTTCGACGATGAGAGGTTCAAAAAATTCATATTTTCCACCCAAGCACCATACAATCTAACTACTCATGCAAGTATTAAACTGAATGAATGTAAAAAAATTCAATTGATTATAAACAACAAAAATTACAAATTTGTGCAAGAAAACTAACCGAAATAGTTTCGTCCAGTGGTAGATAGTGGTCGTTGATCGAAGTCGTGGCGTCAGTCGGCCGATGGTTGATCGGACTGTTTTTGTGGCAACTAAGGCGTCGATTTTCTTTGGATCGGTCGGTTAGGCTTCGAAAACAGTTTGTATTGTTGAAGGGTAAAATCGCCCTTTTATGTGTAAAGTTATTTTTTAACTAATTTTTTTTAATTGATTTAAAAATTGACTTAATGGAAACCCCCGCCCACATCACCATTCAATATTTCTTGGCCAACTATTGGCCAAACCACCTGGGCACTAGGCCCAATGTGATTTGAGTAGAAGCAATAACAAGAATATTTCTAGTGGAACATCTTTCAGAGAGATGGTTCACTAATAGACCGAGGGATAAGTAACTCGATGGGGGCAGGGAAGGGATATAACTCAGCGGTAGAGTGTCACCTTGACGTGGTGGAAGTCATCAGTTCGGGGTTAAATGCTAATATTAAAATTTGCTACAGTATTTGAGTGATTTCTGTATATTTCCTCAGGCATGAGCAACTTGGTTGGCATCCTCTTAACAAAAGAAACAGTAACATTTCTAAATGAGGTTAGCAGATAAGAAATTATAGAGATGATGGTTCTCTCCTGGGCGAAAGATTGTGGATTCTGGATAGCGTTCACCACTTTATAGCAGTCCAATTGAAGAGTGGAAATTTCGAGGCCTATTCTGGAAGAGCTTTGTATTGAGGATTTAGGAAAATGAAGTATATTATTCAACTACTGAATGAACTGTACAAGTGCTATAAATAGCAATGAAAGAAGGCGGGAAAAATGAAAACTAAACAAACTGAACCAGCTGTAAACCAGCTGTCATTTAACTAACTGTAACTAATTTTTAACTAACTAAACTAATGCCTACTAATCTTAATACTCCCCCTCAAGATGGACTGTGAAGATTGTTGACAGCCATCTTGGATAGCAAATGAGAGAGCACAGCTGTAGGCAACGGTTTTGTAAAAATGTCAGCAAGTTGATGATTTGTTCGGACCGGCAATAACTTGATGAACCCTTCACTGACTTTATCTAGTACAAAATGGCAATCTATCTCTATGTGTTTGGTCCGTTCATGAAAGATGGGATTGGTGGCAATATGCACTGCTGCTTGGTTATCACAGAATATTAAAGTCGGACCTTCAAGACTGATATGTAAATCAAGAAGCAATGATGTATCCAAATGAGTTCACTGGTGGTCGATGCCAACGCACGGTATTCGGCTTCAGCAGATGACCTGGAAACTGTACATTGTTTCTTAGCCTTCCACGACACCATGGAGTCTCCTAGGAAGACACAAAATCCAGTGACTGATTTTCGAGAATCTAAGCATGATCCCCAATCTGCATCGGCAAAGGCACGCAATTGTAATGTTGAATTAGCTGAGAACAAGATTCCTTGTCCAGGAGTACCCTTAATGTACCGTAGCAAATGGTGAGCAGCACTTAAGTGAGGCTTTCGCGGTTGAGAGACAAATTGGCTGAGTTTGTGAACAGCAAATGTGATGTCCGGTCTTGAAATGGTTAGGTATAGGAGGCGTCCAATCAATTTCCCATATAAAGAACCATCTTCCAGCAGCTCCCCCTCAAATGAATTCAGTCGAACCTTTGGATCCATTGGTAGGGTAGCAGGCTTGCCAGCAATAAATCCGGTATCATCAAGTAATTGGAGGGCATAGTGCCTTTGAGAGAGGACAATGCCTTGTTGGGAACGAGCAATCTCCAAACCAAGAAAATATTTAAGTTTGCCAAGATCTTTGAGCTTAAATTGGCTATGTAGAAATGACTTCAAGTTAGCAATAACCTGTAAATCTGATCCGGTGATGACTATATCATCAACGTAGACTAGTAAAGCAACAAAGCTACTTCCGGAACCCTTTGTGAATAAGGAGTAATCAAATTTAGATTGCTGGAAACCATGTAGTAAAAGAGCATGAGAAAATTTCAAAAACCACTGTCTTGAGGCTTGTTTCAAGCCATAGATAGATTTATGCAGCTTACATACCAAACGATTTGCTTGATTTCCCGGGGGACTGTGAGGATCATAACCCAAAGGTAAGTCCATGTAAATTTCTTCAAAGAGATCTCCATGAAGGAAGGCGTTATTGACATCCAACTGAATGATGTGCCATTTGTTGATGGCAGCAATGGCTAAGAGGAGCTTCACAGTAACCAATTTTGCAACCGGAGAGAATGTTTCCAAAAAGTCTAATCCCTCTTGTTGGGTGTACCCTTTGGCCACTAGACGAGCTTTGTAGCTATCGACAGTACCATCAGAGTTGTACTTGATTTTGTACACCCATTTGCAACCGATGGAATGTTTTCCTTTAGGCAAGTTGGTAATGGACCAGGTTTTATGGATTCCATGGCTGATAACTCACTTACCATAGCCTCTTTCCAATGGTCAAATTTCACTGCTTGATGGTAAAATTGTGGTGCAAAGTTTGAAGATATGTTGAGAAGGAAGTTGCCGTGGGGCTGAGAGAATTTTGTATATGAAAGGTAATCATTCAAAGGATATGAACAGGAAGGGGATGCAATTTGGTTTAGTCTTTTGGATATGAAGTTGCAATGAAAGTCTTGAAGATATGAAGGAGGTTTACTGATTCTAAGGGATCTTCTAAGAGGAGGATCATTAGGTGGGGTCCTGTTATCAGAAATATTCGAGCTTGGAGGGCAACTAGAAGACATATCTTTGGTGGAATTGTGTATTTCTATGGCAGGGTGAGGTAAAACAAGATTAGGGAAAGAGTCAATAATTTTGGAATTTCTGGAAACATAATGGAAAGGGAAAATCTGTTCGTGAAATACCACATCCCTTGAAATGAAAATAGTTTTAGATATGATATCATATAAACGATATCCCTTGACACCAGGGTGATAACCAATAAAGACACAAGTTCTTGCTCTAGGTTGAAATTTTAGGCGATGAGCTGTGAGAGTTGATGCAAAACAAAGACATCCAAAGACCCTAAGAAAGTTATAATCTACTGGTGAGTTGTAGAGTAAAGAGAATGGTGTCTTGTTTTGTAAAATTGGTGAAGGAGTTCTGTTAATGAGGTATGTTGCCGTGAGGACACAATCACCCCAGAATGAGATAGGAACTTGAGATTGGAAGAATAGAGCTCTGGCTACATTAAGTATATGTTGGTGTTTCCTTTCAACAACTGAGTTTTGTTCAGGTCGTTCAACACAAGAAAACTGATGGAACACACCCTTTGATTTAAAGAAGTCTGCAAAGCGCAACTCAGGAGCATTATCAGATCTGAATGCTTTGATGACTTTATGAAATTGTGTTTCAATGAGACTGAAAAATCTGGGAATGATGGTGTGTACATCTGCCTTTTGTTTCATAAGATAAACCCATGTAAATCTTGTGCAATCATCGACTAATGTGAGAAAAAACCTGTGGTCATCTCGTGTTGGAGAGCTATATGGACCCCAAATGTCACAATGAACAAGATCAAAAGCATTGGGAGATAGATGGTTATTCGAAACAAACGATAACCTTCTTTGCTTAGCAAGTGGGCAAATATAACAAGGTCCACAATCAGTTCTGTCATTCTTGAAATCCAGCTGATTTCTCAAAGTCTCCAATCTTTTAAAAGACAAATGACCTAGTCTATGATGCCATACATGAGAGGTCACATTATTCACTACAGAATTATACACATTTTTAGATGAATTACATTCATTCTTCATCACCTTTGTCACATCAATGATGTAGAGACCATTCACTCTTTTACCCCTGCCAATCGTCTTCAAGCTGCATAGGTCCTGAATATCACAATATTCAGTGAGAAATCTGATGCTTATATTTGAGTTCTTGGTCAGAGAGCTAATAGACAACAGATTGAAATTGAATTGGGGAACGAATAACACATCTTCAAGAACCAGTTCAGGAGTAACTTTAACAATTCCAGCAAAGTGTACAGGAATTCTGGAGCGATTAGGTAGTGTGATATAGACATTCTCCACTGCCTTTAATGTTTGAAAGGATGCACGATTGAAGCAAACATGACTGGTTGCTCCTGAATCCAGTACCCAATATCCAGGAGAATTGAAGATTTGATTAATGAAAATTGAGAAACAAGTACCTGAGACATGGCCAGAATTAGCCCCTTCATTTTCCAATTTTGCACTAGCAAGATGTGTGTTCAGCATGTTCATTAGATGTTGGTATTGTTCAGGATTCAATGTCTGCATGAAATTTCCAAGGTCGCCAGTGGTGATTTGCTCTGGAACAGAATCAGAAATTTGGTTAGCCATTGCATTGTTTGATTGAAAATTATAACTTGCCTGACTCCTCGAATTCATTCCTGTTTGGTTGGTTAAACCTGATTTCTGGTTTGACTTGTATCCTAGAGGGTAACCATGAAGTTTATAGCATTTATCAACAATATGACCTCCAAATCCACAATAAGAACAGATAGGTCTTTCCTTTTTCTGATTCTTGTTATAGGATGGTCCAGTATTCATCCTTTTTGTGTCATTTTTGGCATAGAAAGCCAAGGAATCAGTGGAATCAGCATGACTGTTCACAACTCTTTGATGTTCTTCTTGGCTGATCAGTGAGAACACTTCATTGATAGGAGGAATGGGATCCATAAGCAGTTGTTGTGCTCGAACTTGAGCATAAGAATCATTTAATCCCATTAGGAAAGACATACTCCATGTGGTAAAATTCAGCTAACTTCTTATTTCCTCCACACTCACATTTTCCACACGAGCAGGAAGGTCTGTAATTGCTAAGTTCCTCCCAAACAGCTTTCAATTTAGTGAAATAGACACTAGCAGACATCTGTCCTTGTGTGTGATTCATTAATTCACGTTTTAGTTGGAAAATTCTTGGACCATTCCTTTGTTGAAAACGTTCCTTAAGATCAGTCCAGATTTCATGAGCAGATTCAGAGTATATTATGCTAGCTGTAATGTCTTTTGATACAGAATTAAGGATCCATGAGATAACAATATTGTTATTACGAATCCACGAATTAAGAAGATCAACATTACTTTCAGGCCGACTGATGGATCCATCAATAAATCCTAATTTGTTCTTCACTGATAATGCTATTATCATAGCACGACTCCAGGATGTGTAATTCTCACCTGTTAGAGGCTGTGAAACGAGAATGAGACCTGGACTGTCTGAGTGATGAAGATAATACGGACTAGAGCCATCATCAATGGCGGAATGACTCACTGATGAGGACGAATTTTGGTTTGATGGATTCTGATCTGAGGTGTCTGCCATAATGAGTCGGTTGATCTGCCGGAATCTAATGGCGGAGCTGAGAGCGTATTAGCTCTGATACCATATTGAGGATTTAGGAAAATGAAGTATATTATTTAACCACTGAATGAACTGTACAAGTGCTATAAATAGCAATGAAAGAAGGCGGGAAAAATGAAAACTAAACAAATTGAACCGGCTGTCATTTAACTAACTGTAACTAATTTTTAACTAACTAAACTAACGCCTACTAATCTTAATACTTTGGAACAGGCCGCAACCAGTTCACCATATTCATTTTTACAGATTGCTCTACTGCCAAAACTCCTCCGAGCATTCTCAACTGCGACGTCGACATTCATTTTAAGCTACCCCGGGCAGGTGGCTTCCACCGACTTGCACAGGTGGTTCCAGTTGTCTATGATGATTCCCGGCTTTCAATCTTACACCTCGCCTCCTGGAACTAAATCAAAACTGCTGCTGCTTTTTGGAGAGATAGATCAGGTTTGCCTGAACGGCCTTCAAAGACTGATGAATTCCTGGCATTCCAAACACTCACGAAATCACAATAAACGTCTCCAAATCTGCAAGTGGCAGAGTTCTCCAGGCAACGAGAAAGAGTTCTACAGCAATAGGTCGTTTCAATTCCAGTACCAACCCTAAGAAATGCTGATTTTCCAAACCTTCTCCGCTTCCTGGCATCTAAAGAAAGCATGGAAAGAGCATTCGCGCTAGAAACCACATCTGCAGGAGCTCATCTCTATCTGGATATATCGGAAACAGAGGGTGAATTTTGGGGCATAATCTCCAAAAGGATTTTCCAAACAAAGATATTGATCTTATTGTAAGAACAAATAATTGCAGAATTTGATATTGCAAATTATGAAGTTTGATTTATACTGAAGCGAATATAGGAAAATATGAATTGAAGAAAGCAATATGGAGAAGAATATCAATTTGTATTCATTCATTTCTCTCGTGAATATGCTGTACAATGCCTTAGCTATTTATAGAGAGGAAAGAATCTACTCTAACTAACTCTATACAGGTGGGTATAAGCTGTACAAAAAAAATTACAGAATTGGAAAACAAACTCTAGCTATGCAGCAATATATTCCCAGCAATTCTTCTAGAGACTTCTTCATCTAGAATCTGTAGTCTAGCTGGATTTGTGTCTCACGTCTATTTCCACTAAGCTTTGAGTTGGCATCAATGCTCCTTTATTTTCTTGCTGATTTACTTGATTTAATAGCCCCCGCAAGATGGAGAGTATATATCTAATACTCCCATCTTGAGCAAATGTGAACGCAGACTAGAAGAGCATAGAGCCTTGGTTAATAAATCTGCCACTTGTGAGTTGCTGTTGACATATTCAGTGGTTATTCTTCCTTCTTGAATTCTGTCTCGAATAAGATGGCAATCAAGTTCAATATGCTTGGTTCTTTCATGAGAGACTGGGTTTGTGGCAATGTAGATGGCAGCCTTATTGTCACAATATAAGGTAGCTGACTGAGGATGTTCAATCTGTAAATCTCGAAGCAAATATCGTATCCAAGTTAGCTCACAACATATATTTGCCATTGTTCTATACTCTGCTTCAGTGAAGGATCTGGAGATAGTCCCTTGTTTCTTAGATTTCCAAGACACCGAGGACTTGCCAATAAATACACAATATCTCGTGACCGATCACCTTGTATCTGGACATGCCTCCCAATCCGAATCACAAAAGCCTTCTAGTTTTAACGTAGAATTAGAGGGATAGAAAAGACCTTGTCCTGGTGATCTCTTAATGTATCGAAGAACTTTGTAAGCTGCATGTAAATGGGGAATTCGAGGACAATCCATAAATTGACTAAGCAATTGCACCGGATAGGAAAGATCAGGTCTAGTGATTGTTAAATAGAGTAACCTTCCAATCAATCTTCTGTAGACAGAGGGATTAGTAACAATTTCACCATGATCCTTGGATAATTTCAGATTTTGGTCTAATGGAACTTTGGCTGGAGTTGCTCCAATTTTTCCAGAATCTGCCAGGATGTCTAGTGCATATTTTCGCTGGCGAATGTGAATACCACGATCTGATCTGCCCACTTCAAGGCCAAGGAAATGCTTCAGTTTTCCATTGTAATATTATGAGAAGGTAAAGGGACTGGTGAATTTATGTTCTCATCAATGTATGTGTTGCTGGAATTTACCACTTCTAAGATAGGTTGAGGGATGTTTGGGAGAGGATTTGATGTAGTGGTGAGAGGTTCCTTGTAAGGAAAAATATTTTCATGGAAAAGAACATTGCGAGAGATGAACGTCTTGTTTGTTTCTAAGTCAAGGAGTTTGTACCCTTTGATGCCGAAAGGGTATCCAAGAAAGATACATCGATGTGCCCCAGGGTCAAATTTGTGCCTGCCATGAACAAGAGTTGTAGCAAAAGCCAAGCATCCAAAAACTTTGAGATGAAAGTATGAAGGTCGAGTTTGAAACAACAGTTCAAATGGTGTTTTGTGATAAAGTAGAGGAGAGGGATTCTATTTATAAGATAAACAGCTGTAAGACACAATCAGTCCAATACTTTAGTGAAATTTCACTTTGAAATCTAAGAGCTCTGGCAACATTTAAAATGTGTTGGTGCTTTCTTTCAATGATGGAATTTTGTTGCGGTGTTTCCACGCAGGATCTTTGATGTATGATGCCCTTTTTCGAGTAAAATTCTGTCATATTAAATTCAGCACCATTATCACTGCGAATTATTTTGATTTTAGTACCAAATTGTGTCTCAATCATGTTGCAGAAAGTTTGAACAGCATTAGAGGTCCCAGATTTTTTGTTTCGAAAGGTAAACCCAAGTACGTCGGCTATAATCATCAACGATGGTCAGAAAATACCTTGAACCATCATGGCTAATTTCATTACATGGTCCCATAAATCACAATGAACAAGATCAAAACATTTCTGTGACTTGTGTTGGCTTGGAATGAAAGGAATTTTATGTAACTTTGCTAGGGGACAAACTAGACAAGGTTTCTTATCTATAACAGATTTCGAACTAGAGGTATGATCAGGTAAATGAAAGTTAGGATATGATGAGTGACCTAATCTATAGTGCCATAGGTCAAATTCATTTGCAAGCAGCAACACGAGTTTTAGCAGTCGTGGGAGCACGAGTGTCTGTCAAAGTTGAGGGAGATACTTTCTTTTGCAGTAAATGATACAGTCCATGCTTTACCTCACCCATTCCAGTCGTTGTCCAAGTCAGAAGGCCTTGGAGAAAACAAGTTTCAGAAAGAAAAATTAAGCAACAATTCAAATTCTGAGTCATCTTCCTGGCTGAAATAAGGTTAAAAGAAAATGAAGGAACATATAGCACATTTTCAAGGATAATGGAACCTGTGAATCTAACAGTGCCAATGTGACTAACTAAAACCATTTCTCCATTAGGTAAAGTTCCTGAATATGAAACAGGTGTTGGATTTGAAGTAAAAAAGGAAATGGAACAGATCATATGATCTGTTGCCCCTGTGTCTAATATCCAAGGAATGGTTGAAGTGTCATGGAATTTATTATTATATGCTGATAAACCAAGAGAGATACCAGACATTTTTGGTATAGCATCATCAGAGGTAACACTTGTTTGGGCATGACTGGTAGCGGCTGGATGATGTTGTGTTTTAAATAGTGCCATTAGTTGAGAATATTGCTCTGGTGTCAAGGAAAGATGTGGATTATCATTGACTTGCTCCTGATTAAAAGGCATAAGAGTGGAAACTTGGTTGACATTAGATGCAGCAGGTTTGCTTTTCCCTTCAAACTTGTGTCCTAGAGGATACCCATGTAGTTTGTAGCACCTGTCTGCTGAGTGTCCGGGCATTTTACAATGAGAACATGATGGTTTGTTAGGGTTGGCTTTGAGACATCTTTCAAGGGAGTGGCCAGGCATCTTACAAAAACTGCAGTAATACCTTTCCCTCCTCTGATTTCCCTGATATGACTTACCTGCATTAAATTTTCCTTTTGCCAACATTGCCATAGTATCATCAGGTGTGTTGTCAAAAGAGATCTGCTGCCTCTTTTCTTCTTGTTGGATAAGTGAATACACTTCATTCAAACTTAGGAATGGGTTTAATCAAAAGGATTTGTGCCTTTAAGCTTTTGTAAAAGTCATTAAGCCCCATCAAGAACTTCATAACCCAATCTCTCTGTTGGTTATTTATTACTTCTTTCAATCCTCCACAAGAACAACTAGGGATAGATTCATAATTCATCAATTCATCTAGCAATGTTTTCAGTTTTGAAAAATACACAATCACACTATCCTGATTTTGCACCAGATTGGCAATGTTTTGTTTGATCTCGAAGACCCTTGGTGCATTCTGCTGCGCAAACCTTTACTTGAGTTCCTTCCATAGTTGATGGGCTGTATCAGCATATAGAGTGCTGCATTTGATATCAGGTGCCATGGTGTTTTGCAGCCAAGTGATGACTATATCATTACATCGAAGCCAATGTTCCATGAGGGGACTGTCTGCAGCAGTGGGTTCAGCAATGCTTCCATCAATAAAACCAAGTTTGTTCTTGATTCGGAGCGCACGCTTCATGGATCTTGCCCAAGAGTGATAGTTATTTGAGTCCAGATCATGAGAAACAAGCAAGGATCCAGAATTATCATTTGCACCAATGTAAAAAGGACTATTTGGTTGTGAGGGATCAGAATTTGTATTTCTGGTTTGAGTGGCATTAGTAATATTTTGAGCAATATTGGATTCATCTAAATCAGCCATTGTTGGCTCTGATACCATATCAGAAAATATGAATTGAAGAAAGCAATATGGAGAAGAATATCAATTTGTATTCATTCATTTCTCTCGTGAATATGCTCTACAATGCCTTAGCTATTTATAGAGAGGAAGGAATCTACTCTAACTAACTCTATACAAGTGGGTATAAGCAGTACAAAAAATAACAGAATTGGAAAACAAACTCCAGCTATGCAGCAATATATTCCCAGCAATTCTTCTAGAGACTTCTTCATCTAGAATCTGTAGTCTAGCTGGATTTGTGTCTCACTTCTATTTCCACTAAGCTTTGAGTTGGCATCAATGCTCCTTTATTTTCTTGCTGACATACTTGATTTAATAGCGAACATACAGAAATTGAATGTCGAATCAGTAAACTATTTCGAATTACGAAAGGGAAGAAACCAGCAAAACCAGGCCTGTGTCACAGTGTCCTTTAAACATATTCACTCTCTTGCTTGAGGATTCTGTAAGCGTCTTCTTCCATAATACAACGAGAAAATCTACAGAAATTGAACACCGGATTTCTGCAACGGCGAACTGAATCTGTTTCTGAATCGACCATCTACCA